AATCAGGAGCTAAGCATCACCTCAGATCATGTTAGAAAGGCTCTTAGGCCCTGCCCTAGACCTACTGAATTCCACTGTGCTTTTTAAGATTTCCAGGAGTTTCATTTACACCTTAAGTCTGAGGCATAGTGCTATAAAGAACATGGCAGTATCTCTAACTCTAATGCACAGCTAAAATGCAAATCCCTAGATCCCATTCCCACTGATCTAAAGCTTTCAGCAAACATCTGGGTTTGAATTCCATTGGCTCTCTTCAGACCACACTTGTTTGTACCATTAACTAGTAAATTTGTAGGTGCTATAAAGCAACAGAAGTAATGGAAAACAATCCAGAAAAAAAAGAAAAAGAGAAATTGGAAGAGAAAAAAAGGAAAGAAAACACAAGAGGAAAAAGAAAAAGAGAAACTCTAGTTTGATTGAAATAATTCTAAATGTTGAATGGAAGTTCATCCAAACTAAGCATAACTTGAATGTCATGTCACTCTGCTCTAAGCACGAGACTCCTTGAATTCCTCACAGCAGCAACGGGCTTAGCCAATTAACTTCAGTTAATTGTAACCCAACCTTGGGACTTGAGTCAGCACCACCTAAGAACTTCAGGGAGCCTCAACATGATGAAGAGCCTCTGTTGACACTGTCAATGACAAAAATCTTTTAAGCATCACTTAGGGAGCTTTCAAAACATCTCCATGCCCAGCCCCAATTCACATTTCAGTTTTCTTTAATTTCCCAGGTGACAATTGGAACAAAAATAGTTGTGTATATGTGTCTTCAAGCCACAAGTATAAATTCATAATGATATCTAGTAACTTACATTCTCAAAAGGTTTAACCACAAAACAAATATGAAATACAGAAATTTGTTATAACACGATAAAATATTTAGCTTGGTAGTCTAGCTTTTAGATTTGGGAAGCTTGAAATCAGGAATTGGATTAAAAGAAAGAACCTGAAAGAGAACAGTAGGAAACAGGTGTTACTAAGGGAGATATGGATAAAAATGGAGTTATTTTAATGGGAGGGGGAGGGAGGATTATACAAGAATCCTTGGGGATAAAGGGAAAGAAGGAGCTCAAGAGAGGTGGGACCATCAGAGAAGGGTATTATTAAGGGAGAAATGGAGAAAATGGGGGCACTTTAAATGGGGAAACCATGGTGGAAGGGTTAGACAATGAGAGAGATAAATAATGCCTAGCTAGTTTAAGAAAAAAAAAAAGAGGGAACCATATCAGCCCAACAACCTACTGACAAATTATACAAACAACTAGCTCAAGGAACAAAATATATGTCTAGTCAAGGTTTATCTGAGAATGTTTGGGTTTTGCCTAAGTGTTATATACATAGCACGTGGTAATTAAAAGTACCAGACTGGTGGAACTAACCTTCTTAGGTGTTTAACAGCCATACTTTGAGGCCTATACTAATCTGGTCAGAGGGACTTGAAGGTCAGTTTTTGCTCCTTGCCCTCCAAAGTTGACTAAGTTCCAGAGGACTATGGAGCATCTCTCAAAATGTCCTGTAATTGTGGTGAGTCTCCTGTCCTCTTGATCAAGAAGGCCATGGAGACTGCACCAGATGGACTTGAACCAGTGTCCAGTCTACAAAGAGGAGGATCAACACAGAGGAAACATTTCCTCCATGTTTCGAAGTGAATCCAGCAACAGTCGAGCAGGACATCTGACTTATCTTCACATAGATGGAATTGGTAAAAGAAAGGAGCCAGGACTTCTTTCTAAGCCCATGTGACCCCTGAGGAACAGATCCTCAATCTTAAGAGTAAAAATATTATTTGGGCCAACTATACAGTCTTAAACACCCAAAAGGAAAGTATAACCAAAGATTAAAGTGATTAGTATAATTCTTTAAGAGTCCATGTGTATAGCTAAAGGCTACATAACAAGAAACAATGCCAGACAGGAGATACTGTCCTTTGAGTTGTTGGCCAGGGTGGCCCAAGAGACTCCCAGACAGTAACTCAGCATAGCACTGGGAAAATGAACAATAGACCCCAATCTTATCTAAAGGAATATTGGCAACTGATTGCTGCTAGATAAGGAAGAGCTGGTCTTCCTAAAACAAGGAACTCTAGATAGGCTGACTAGACTCAGAGGATGGACTAGCACTGGGGAACGGCTGGGGGTACTGATAATACAGTGAACAGTAACAGGGATAACAGAGTATATGGGCTCCAGGGGCGGGGGGGGCCTACGGGAGGGTGCCACTTGGGATGTGGGTATATAGATGAATAAGATTATTTGGGATGTTTTGTATGAAATACAAAAAAAAAAAATGAGTTAGGAAAAAAGAAAGTGGGTAAGCCCCTATAGTTTAGAATGTTGGAGATGTGTTTAAATAGAGTCTTTTAAAAAATATTATGATACACTCTAGGGTCTAACAGAAGGAACCACCATGTTCTTCATATGACTACTTCATGAAATTATTTAATTTAAATGACTAGAGCTGCTTTGTACAAATATAATATGACTAGCTTAGTAAAACAAAACCAATTCATAGTTGATAGAAATTGATATTTGTAGTTGTTTTTCTTACTGATTTGAAGGAATATCTGGAGCATGAGATGGAATGCTTTCTACATCACCAGACCATATGTCCCATGGTTTAAGGGAAAAGTATATTGCAAGCTGTTTTGCACATGTTATGGAGATACATTTACTAGATAGTTGGATAGTCCATTATCCCATCTCTCCCAAAGGAACCCAGAAGGAAACTTAGAATTTATTAATATTTGAAAGGGAAAGGGAAACATACACTTCTCTATATTTTGAGCAGATAGATATGACTGCTGTTGCATCCCACAATGTTCAATGTCTACACTATAACTGATTTATTTTAAGACGCTTCAAATCCTAACTGAACATCCTCAAAAGGAACTGCACCAAAATGAGTTGTAGGTCTACCCATGTGAAATGCCCCTCCTAGTGTAAAGTCAAACCCTGTTAATTGTTTTAAGCAACTTACAGTAGAAGGATTCAGAGATTTGTCTACGTAAAGTCGCTTGATTAGTTTCAAAGAGTAAAAGGAACTGAGCTTATTAACATCAGAGGTCACTGTTTGAAACCCAAAGGGCACATCTTTGATGTTTTCAAAGTGGAGGACCTGTTAAGAGAAAAATAAAAAACATTATTGAAAAAACATTGCTTCTTGGGGCTAAGGAGATAACTCAGTCAGTAAAATGGTTGCCTAACAAAATGAGGGCCTGAGTTCACTCTCCAGAATCCATGCTTAAACAAAACAAAAAAGTCAGACATTAAAAAAAGAATAATTCTCCCTCCCCCAGCAGCTATCAACTCCCAATAGCTCCTCAGTGAGGGATGGAGCATCTCCCCCATCTATGCCAAAATTTTGGCTGGATGGATCTTGTGCAGAGCTTGTGCAGGTAACCACAGCTGCTATGAGTTCATGAGTGCTAGAACCATATCAAGTCCAGGGGGCAGCATTTCATAGCACTCCTCCTCATCATCCAGCTCTTATATCCCTTCTTCCTTCTCCTCTTCTGCCATGTTCCCTGAGTCTTGGTGGTTTGGGAGGAGAGGGGGTTTGAGAAAGATTTAAGGCTGAGCACTCAGTCTCTTATTCTCATCACTTTGATCAGTTATACATCTCAGCATTGACTGCTGCCCACTGCAAAAAGCTTCACTGACCAGGGTTGAGAGAATGAGTAGCTACTGATAGATTCCCATGCTCCACTGGATAGCCCTACACCCATACACATATAGGCAACACTAATTAGAATTCATTGGTTATCAAAAACGTTTTAAAGGACATGAAGCTTGGAGGAGGCTGCATTGGGAAGTATTAGGGGAGTTAGAGGGGGTAAATGGGGAATGGATATGATCTGTTTCATTGTATACATGAATGAACTTCTTAATAATAAAATGTTAATATAAAAAAGCCAGGTGTGGTGGCATACTCTTATAATTCCAGTGATGAGAAGGCAGAGAAAAATCCTTGGAGCTTCCTGGCCTAGACACTCTAGCCTACTTATCAGGCTCCAGACCAGTGAGAGACCCTTTCTCAAAAAACACGGTAGATGGCATATTAAGGAATACTGAAGACTGACCTCTGATCTCCACAAGCACATATACACACAGATACTTGCATACCTGCACACGCGTGCACACATGTACACACACACAGAGACACACAAATTGCTTCTTCCCATTAAAGTGGACACCTAGTGAGTTCAGTCTCTCTGGGGTACACAGCATCACTGTGTTCAGGTGTTCCTGTAAGACTATGCTTCTCAGGATCATGATATTCCCTGGTAGACACTTCTTAGCTGTGGGAACTATCATCTATATTGCAGAATGTTTCACAGCATCCCTAACCTATAAGATGCTAGTAGCCCTCCTCTCCCTATGTGTGACAAATGAATGTCCCCAGAGCTGGAGGGAGAGAACAAAAATATCCATGCTTGAGAAATATTACCATAAAGATACTCTTTCCAATTAGCTATAAAGAAAATTTGACCCTTTTTTCAAAGTGCTGCTGCTAAGGCTCACTCAGAGGGCTCTCCAAACTGAAAAAAAGATGAAACTGAATTATAATTTCTATCAAGTTTAGAGATAATGCCAAAATAGATGCTCACTAGGCAAGTACCAGAGCCAGAGTATAGTCTCTCTAAATGCTTTAACGGATACCAAAAGAATGGGCTGCCCAGCATGGGCTAGAGTCAGGCAGCTCTGCCTTTGTCCCCAGCCTTCACCTACTAGCAAGGCATCTCTTCTAACTCCCTTAGCCCCATGTGCTCCTCTGCACAATGGACTGAGAACACAACTTTTCTGAGTAGTGGTGAGGATTATATATATTGTATTTAAAACATCACATGGATACAAACTGTTTATTATTCTTATGGCAAGACTCTAAGACATTTAATGCTAAAATGTCATTCAGAGGACTCAACTCCTGTTATTTTGTTTCTAATTATAGTCTAGCATCTCCTCTGCTTTGTGGCACTATAAACTGTAGTGTCCACATATGAGGATTCTCTCCTCAGTCTGTAATTCCCAATTGCCATGCCCTGATGGCACATCTTAGGTCACATCACCAAACAGGCACATATGCCAGGGACTCATAGCCTTGGCAGTGCAGGGTTAAATTGGCTGGCCCAAGTCATACACAAAACTCATCCTAAATGTGCCTAAAATACCAGAACATTAAAGAGCCCAGATGACCACTACTGGGGGAACCAGTTACATTCTCTGAGATGTCTCTCTATAACTGTTGAGTAACAGACCCACTAGCCCTTCTCTAATAAGAGATAGAAATGAAGACTGGAAACTGAGTTACTGAGTATGGACTTGGGAAGTTCCAAAGAGAAACTAAAGCTCTTCTCCCTAGGACTGACGCTCATCTTCTGGCCTCACTCAGTTTCAAGTGTAAATTTCTCATCCTGACCTACTCAATATTTTCAGCCATAATAATTTTATGGATATTAAATAAAGTGCTGATAAGATTATGGAAAGATTTTGTTGACCCTTACATCAATCAACATAAGGAAAATAATAGAAAGGTATTAAAAGAACACTGGCTACCTGTGAAAGCTCGTGAGGTCTTAAAATGTAGCAATCATGGAAATTATCTCATCTGAAGGTCCAAGAACTTTCCAAGGCTAATTAACCACAGCCAAAAAGAAACTCTAAAACATCTGTATACATATGTATGTGTTTGCGTGTGAAACCTTATCTTAGTTCAGGGCTTTCAAATGACATAATCAAGCCCCCCAGGGTTCTAAACCATATGTGCATGCAATTTATTTTATTTATCTATGCTACTTGAGGAGAGATAATTTAAAATGTTAGTTCTATCTTGGAAATACTCTAGGGTAAAATGTAATTGAGTTGGCATCTTAAAATTAAGCATGATGTTCTAAATAAATCATGTGCTGAGGAGGACTGCTTTGTTCTCTGAAAGTAGGGCAGGATGTAGGGTATAGATTTGCATTGTTTCTATCAGAGTAGGTACAATAGAATAGTAAGTAAATATCATCTGGATTGACCTTTCAATATGTCAGGCGAGGGATGTCAGTGACTTGCTGACAGCCACTGGTGAATGGAACACCTGTGATTACCTAACATAGCCCCAAATTCTCCTTTCCAATCTGGTACATGGTCTAAATATGGCTTATGCTATGCACAAATGAGCTTTCATATTTAGAATAGATTAAAAGAGTCTTGAAAATAGCATAACCCTCAATCCTGAGCAATTCTGGCCATAAAGTCTCTTTTTTTCCCCTTTAGACCCTGTCTATGGATTCCAGTAACTATCCCCATTCAAAATCAAAACAGGGCATAGGCTGCTTACCTGTCCAATTTCATTTGCTGTGTCACCTTTGGCACCTACTTGAGCAAGTGACAGAGAGGTGGAGAGACAGATTGGAGAGAAGAGGACGTTTCCCACTGGCTCCTTTTCACACAATTGTTTGAACAAGTCAACAGCAAAAGCTGAATTTGCTAGTCGCAGGGCATCCATCACGGGCCTGGAACCAGGGACAAACGATGTGTTAATTTCCAATGTATGATGCGTTCCCAACTGCACTCTGACAACAGCAAGAATTCTACTGGATCTTGTATAGGGAAGAGGAAAGAAATTTTGGTAAATTCCAAAAGAAAGGCAGTTGTAAAGAAAGCTCTGGCCAAATGTCTTAAGGTGCATGAGGTCTTCTGGGTGTGCTATTCCCCCTGTGATCTTTACACTCTGCTCAGCTACTGTGGCCAGGGTCAAGAGTCCAGTCATTATGCCTCTTCTTCACCAAGAGGCCAGAGCAAAGAGCAGCACAATCAAAATCAGTTAGCTTTATAATCACATATTATTTCAAGTACTATTTTGGCTAAAGCATCTAAAATCAGTACTTTTCCTTTCTTTTTTTTTTTTTTTTTTTTTTTTTTTTTTTTTTGACATAGGGTTTCCCTGTATCCCCAGGCGGCCTGGAACTTGCTATGTAGGCCAGGCCAGCCTCAATCCCACAGAGATCTGTCTGCCTCTGTCTCCCAAGTGCTGGAATTAAAGGTGTGTGCTACCATGCCTGCCTCTAAAATCAGAACTTTTTAAACTGCAAAATAATTGTAGCAGTTTTGTGTGGTTCTACTTAATATTTATTGAGTTTAGGATTGTGCCCTAAAAAAGACATGCTGAACTTCTAAATCTTAGTACCTATGAATGTGACATTGTTTGGAAACAGAGTCTCTGCTGTTTTAATTAGTTCAGAGGCGGTCCTATTGGAGTTAGGTGGGCACCAATGCAATGTGACCAATGTCCTTCTAAGAACAAGAGAAAAGTCACAGAGACACAAAGAAGAAAGTTGACCTGTGTGCACCCAGAGTGAACCTTTCAATGTCTTGAGCAGGACATATACCCTGACATCAGAGCAAAAGCTTCAGTACTCAAGTTCAAGAGTTTCTTTAGCCAGGAGTCATAGGTGTGTTAGAATCAAGTACATGAACAGGACTTAGACCAGGAGAGAAACTCTAAATGCAAAGACAAAAGAATAAAATCAAAGAGTAGGCTCCTGATCTTCAAATAGTTCTCCAGAATTCTCTTTATGGGGTTATATGTAGGATGAACTCAAATGGATCATAATAGTCTCCAGAATCTGAAAACCAAGTTCATTAGCAAAAGAAAAAGTTGACTCCATTAGTGATCACTAGCCATGTGCACCATCTTCCTCCCCTTGTTTATACTCCAGATAAGTATGTCAGGTGCACTCAGGCTGGTGTGCCCATTACAAATCTGTCACCAAGCACCCCGAAGTTATATTGGACGTTCACACTTCTTAAAAGCCTCCACTCTTATATGTTCTCCTTTGGGGCAGGGTAAGGATAAAAGATGACAGCCCATTAGAGTGGCCGCTGACCAGTGTTGAGTGCAGAGAGATCAGCAGAGAGCCCTGCTCTGGAAGCCTGTGGAGGATTTCAATCCAACTGCCCATAGCTGGGAAACCTGAAGAAACTCTTCATATGAGAAACTCTTCATGTGAGATTCTCAGAACAAGAGGCCTGGTTTCATTCAACAGCAAATTTAACGTTCATAATGTTGAGTTCAGTCACAACTAAAGTGCAACATGAGCTTTAGTTATGAGCGATTGTAATGAGCTATTCCCTCATCAAATAGAGAAAACGAGAATCAGATTCTTAACAAACTTTCAATGCTTCCACAACCTGAAGACTAATCACATTGATAATAATATGAAAATACACAAACTATGCTTTAACAAACCCAATTCTTTCTCCCTAGCACGTACATATTACATCTTCCAAGAAGAGATTTTTTTTTAGAATAACTTCTTCAGAACTGATAACAAACTACTTTTGGTGATTTCCATCTTGTAGAAAAACTATTTAACATCACAGTCTGCTGAGGAAGTTTGAATGTGAAGTCTAGAAGTAGGTCCAGAAAGTATATAAATATAAAAGGAAATGTTCATTCTGTCATTCATTCATTACAGCATTTTGAGGTATATTTAGTTTAAATGACTCCATGAATACATTCATTCAGCTTTTAATAAGGCTAATTACATGCTATATTAATGCTGTGTTGCAATGCAAGGCTTAGATCCAGGTTTTAGTTAGAGAATGTAAATCAATGCACATCAGACACCTGGGAGGTTTCCCACCAAACAGACCTTCCTTCCACCAAGTACCTTCCTTTGCATGGTAGCCTCAGTACATGAAGTCATGAACTCATCTGCCTTCCTGAAAACTGGCTTTCTTTTCTCAGAAAAATCTCCTTGGTTGTGGAGAAGAGCTTGGGGTCCTTAATATCTGGGGTCCCAGCTATAGCACAATTATCTGATACAGGCCAAAGCTATCAAATGTAAGGTCTGCATATGGAATGTGTTGTGGTGGTGTAATGGTTGACCTTGATTGTCAACTCAATGAGATTTAGAATCACTACAGACACAAACCTCTGGGCATGTTTGTAAGGCAGTTTCTAGATTAGGTTAATTGAAGTTAAAAGGCCAGCCCTCTAACTGTGGATGACACAATTCCATGGGCGAGTATCCCAGACTGAATAAAAAAGGGAAAGCAAGCTGAGCCTAAGTATTCACTACTCTCTGCTTCCTGACAGTGGATTCAATGTGATGTACTTTCCCCGTATGGACTATAGCCTTTGGAACTGTAAGCCACAACAAACCCATCCTTCCTTATGTTTCTTTTATCATGTATTTTGTCACAGCAACTAGACAAGTAACTAATACAAGTGGCAAGAAGCAGCCAGTTAAGTAATTATTCAAATATCACATGCTAAATCATATCAGTGACTCTAGGATTAGACCCAAGTGACCTAAAATCACTGTAAAATTGATCTGATCTGAAGTAGCTCAAGAAATGACTTTGACTTCAGCCAACTTGATGCCTCTCTGTGTTGTACAACAAAGCATTTAAACAAATTTCAGATATGTTAGCAATACCTACCCAAAAAAAAAGTGTGGTGCCTATGTAGACCATTTTACATGAGAAAATGCTATTTAAAAAATTATAGCTACCACAGTAGAGATGAAGACATCCTATCCAATAAGTTTATATGACTAATAGCTTGTGTTCAAAGTACTAAAACAAGTTAAACTTTTTCATTTTATTATCAACCTGTTACAGGGCTGTCTTCTTTCACTTTCATGAAAATCCAGGAGTCATTTTAACAAGGATAACTTTCTCTATTACTTCAACACAGAAAACATTAGGCTTTTCAAACCATTTAAAAGTTTAAAAGAAACCTTCATTTTGACAAAAGTCAGATGAAAACTGAAGTAGTAATAAAATGCAATTTTTGGAAGAATTTGTGGTAAATGGGGCTTGTTCTTGAAATATTTTGCCAAGGTATTATAAAGTGGGACAAGATCTTGCAGTAGGATCTAATCTGGCCCCACCTCTTCATTTTGTAAAGGGGTGAAGTGGAAGAAGATGAAGTGATTCTCCCAGGCCACCCACACAGGGAGCAAGGATAGCAAGGCCAGACCTAGAATTCATTTCTTCTGGCTCCCCGCCCCGCACCTCCTTACCACACCTCACCACTTTCTATCTTGGCAAATGGGACTTTGCTGACTTTTGTTTTCTGAGGTTTCTCAAGTTTCAAAAATCCGGTATCAGAATGATTCACTTCAAAGCTACCAAAATATCCTACGTAGGGTTGGTGGTTATTGCTTGTTTTTTGTTCAGTTGCTTGATTTTCACCAACATAGAACTTTTCCCCTAAGATTGTCCTACTTGAAGGAGCAAGCCCTGGTTCTCCTTTCTGACTCTTGGGTTGCAAACTCTCAGCATTTTAACATTTCCATCCCATAACTCAGGCCAGGCAGAAGTCAGCATTAAAGAAACCCAAGGTGAACACATCCTGGCTCCTGCTTCCACCAAGCAATCAGCTAGTGCCATGATAAAAGTGGTGCCTGCTTTGATACAGTGTACTAGTAACTATGGGAGCCCTCAACAACACCTAAACCTTACTGGAAATCTCAGTGACACCTCCTGAGAAGCACTGACATCTAAGTGAGTCACACTAAAGGTGAATCAATCATAAAGGATAAGTACCATGTAATCAGGCAAAAACGTGGGTCAGAGAGAAGTGAAACAATTCAGAGTCTGTGCGTGTCCCATGGATGAGGGAGAGCTTATTTCTCTAGATTGATCATTTGCCATGACCCTTATATAATGATATTCTAAGTATATCATGCGTGCCAGAGAGTAGTCCTCAAATTTTTTCATCTTTAGCCACTTGGAGAGATAAAGGTCCTATAGATACGCTAATTACATATCCCATGAAACAATATTGATTTGTTTGTTGTCCTTTACGCTCTCAAATGAATGTCAAGTGTTCCTCCTATTTACAGACTGTCACACTCTTCTGCTATATAGGCATGCACACACATGAACACACACTAAGATACATGCATTACTATATGCACAGTTTGGTTTTGCTTTCCATTTCTTAAAATCTAGGTTTTTGCCAGGCCTGGTGACTCATACCTCTAATCCCAGCACTGAGGAGGTTGAGGTAGGAAGATTGGCATGAATGCCTTGAGTTGAAGGGTAGTCTAAGCTATAAACCATGTATTCTGTTCTAGGCCAGCCTGGACTACAGAGTGAGAGCCTATATCAACAACAACAAAAAAAGAAGAAAAGCCTAAATTTTCACTTGTCAGAGCTCTAGATAAATCTATCTGAAGATAACCTTTAAGCTAACTTGCCTCATTTACAGATAAGGAAACATGGTGAAAAATCTCTTAGGTCCTTATTTACTGTTATGTTCTGTTGAAGCTCGAACCTTATGTGTGCTTGGCAAGTGCTTTACCACTGAGCTATAGCACCAGTCCATAAAAGCTTTTTTATTTAATATTTTATTATTTTTATTTTATGTGTATGAATGTATTGCCTACGTGTATATAAGTGCACCCATGTCGTGCAATGCCTGCAGAGGTCAGAAAAGGGCGTTGGTTCCCCTGGAACTGGAGTTACAGACAGTTGCTAACTACCATGTGGGTGCTGGGAATCAAACCCAGGTCCACTTAACCATTGAGCCATCTCTCCAGTCCCTAAAACTTTTTATTTTAAGAGGTCTCCCTATGTTGCCCAGGCCAGCCTTAAACTCTCTCTGTTACCAAGGAAGCCTTGAACTTGCTGTTCTCCCACCTCAGCTTCCCAAGAGGCTGGGATTGCAGGACTTGCCACCAAGCCCAGCTCCCTTAGGTCTTTACTGTATCTAGTCTCTAGACAGTGATTCCTTGAGGAACCTGGCTTGCTATAACACCCGTTGTATATAGTTTAGAGCCTAAGAATACAGCCTCTGTTGTTCACTTTGCAACTCTGAGAGAAGCATCAGTACCAGATTAGAAAAACATGAGGTCTTCTAGCTTCTGTGTAAAAGAATACTATGAAAATAAAACGAAGTGATTGAGTAAATGCACATGGAAAGTGCTTTGATGTGAGGAAAGTACAATGCAGTCATTAGTAATAAGGCTAATTGCTGTCATTTCCAACTGCAGAGGAGCTCATAGATTCTCAGACATCATAGTGTTGCACCTGGTTCCTTAAAGCCTCATGTTGACGGCTGGCACACCCAACTGCTATTCCCAACAACAACCCAGTACCAGACTGGACCACACCAGGAGGGCCCAAGCTGCTGAGACTGCATGCTCCAAAGTTAACCTTCAAGCCAGAGGAACTGAAGTGGCAGAGTGTTAAGGTGTTAGGAAGCACAGATATAAAGCTGCTGACTCACTTTCCACAGAGCCCTGTGCTGCCAAGCTTTCCTTTCTCTACCCATTGATGAACCCATCAAACATTTGCCTTTACTTGAGGGTGACTGATGCTTGGAACGCACTTAATTTTATTAAAGATCATCTTCGGAGACATGGGGGAAAACAAAACATTAAGAGAACCTGTGTTATCATGGAAACATCCATGGGCTATAAGCCTGAAGGCCCACTTCATTTCTGCAACCCCACTTACGAGAGCCACACCACGTAGTCACCTCTGTGAGTCTTTCTACATGAGGGGGCCTGAGTAAGAAGAGATCAAGGTCCCCAGTTTCGAGGATTCACTTTGGTAAATGGAACAACATAGCATGTTAAATGGATTTTTCAGTAAGAAGTTCTTGAATGAGGTCACAAAATCAGCAGCAGCAGCAGAATCATCATCAAAGTCCATGAGACAGAGACTATAAACAAGCTCCGCTCAAAATCCAAAAATCCACATTTGAAACTAGCAACTTGTGAAGTTGCTGAATCTAGTAAAAATGAGGAGAAATAGACTTCTGCCTAGAACAAACACAGTTGTTGGCTTAACACTAATCTGATCTTTATGAAGCCACAAAGAACCGTCTTCATGTCAACCCCCCAATGCCAGCTGGGAAAGTGAGCCCAGTTCCTGTCATCTCAACTTTCTCCAGGTTTTGAGTACCACACCCTTTCTAAGACTAGCATTACAAAATTAATCCTGCACACCAAGATAGGGCTGGAAACGTTCTCAGTCTTACGTGAATCAGGGTTGCTCCCCACCACCAACCTCATCAAAAGCTTGTATCCCATGTTCTTTCTTTATATTCTTATGGAGTATAGGTGACAGTTCTCCCAAGTGGCACTCCGTGGGCCCAAAGGGCTTGGAAACTGGAACTGTGACCTACCATACTGAAGCCAGGCTCCCCTTGAATAAACCTATCCACTTTCTTCACCATCTGCAGTCAACTCTCCTATTTTATGACTCGTCCTAAAGAGAAAACTCACCAGCCCTGCGACCCCGCTTAACTTACCTGGAGTCGCAGTTATCCTGGAAAACGAGCGGCAAGGAAAAAGGCAGGCAAGGAGCTCAGAGGCTGTGGAAGGAAGCAATCCAGGCCGGAGAAGCAAGACTCACCTGAGCCGCTCCCACCCTGGCCACGCCCACCACTGCCCTCTTACTCATGACTCTTGGCCGCCTCTGGAGATTGAAAGGCGTGATTCAGGTTGAACTAGTGCTGTTGTCTGCAAGCTTCTAAAGGCCTGCGACAAGTTTGGGCAGGAAGGGGCTGTCAGTGGATCCTGCTCTGAGCTAAATACATACATGCATAAGTAAATAAAGGCAAACCTACCAGCCAACCCAGTACCGGAAGGTGAAACTTCAGATATAAGAATAGGGGGCAATAGGAAAGCTACAAACTTCTCCAACATGTTAGAGACACAAAAAAAATAATCTAACCTCGATCTTTTCCCTGTAAACTGTGATCGCTCATTGTGATATCATACCTGGCAAGACATTTCATGTCAAACTGATTAGGTGAAATTATTTGATGGATTGCAGAGGGCGTTCCCAATAGAGCTCTGGAATGTCTTTGTGAGGCCGCTCTTTACTATTCCTGCAGCTCGGTGACTCCTGGGACCTACTCTCTTCATATACCATCTATTCTCAGGAAAGTACTGGAAACCTAGCCAGTTGCTTCTTCACTGTGCTCACCTATGTTCCCTCTTGTTCACTCGATAAGCTTTCAATTTAATCTTCCACTTCACTCTTCTCCCCCATGTTGACTATAAGAATTTGAAAGGTAAAAGCCAGCTTCATTCACTTCTTAACACGCTGGTATCCAGATGATTTGCCATATGCAGCCAATAATTGCTGGCTAAATTAATAAAAACAACTTGATAAACTGATGGACAGCTTTTCCATCCCTCTTGTCTTGAGTATTTTGTTATTAACCAGGATCAAACACGTAAATGAAAACGAGTTCAACGCTAAAAGCAGCATTTCAGGCATTAGTGGAACAAGTGTAGCAAGGTAATAAAGAGAGGGATATGGGCAGGATGCCTCATGAAATTACAACACCCAGCTGTATTGAGGGGAATGTGAGTTTGGAAGCAGAATCATAAATTTGCAAACGGATCCTACCACTTATTGTTAGGAAAAAAAATCCTAAGCAAAATGCTTAATCTCTCTAGCCTCAAATTCTTCACTTGTAAAGTAAGATCTATATACAGTTACATAGGAAGGTTCAATGCATACACACCCTAAAGATGGCAATTATCACCACTGCCTGTTCCCCAAATGGGTTCAGCGACTAATCATAGTGGCCCAAAGGTTAGAGCATAATATTAACATCTAATTTACCACAACTACTTGTCCAGCGCCAACTTGCTGCATGCTTGCACTGTGATCTAAAGATCTTAAGAGACTTGCTCTTAAATTCTAGAGCTTTGCCAGTTCTCCCTTTTAATGCTTGAATTCTCTCTCAACACTCTTGTTCAGTACAAGATGGATGCAGACATTTTCAGTGAGGGAAATTCAGCAGTACCTGAGGAACCAATATATATGATGTTGTATGATTCCAATTGTTTGAAAGTTAAAGGTACCATTAAATTAGGCTTCTGAGACATGCTCCCTCTCTCTGAAGATCTTACAAATAGACACAGTAGGGAGATGAGACACAAGTGAATTGAAGTATCTGATCATGTGTAATAAGGGACTAGTGCATGGCATAAAAGTAGTTCAGAGACAAGTATGACCTCTTCAGCCTTAGAGTGCCTAGAGAGTCATGGCAGGGTCACTGGATATTAGAAGACCAGGCAGGACTAGGCACAAGAGTGAGAAAAAGTTCATAGCTGGACTGAACAAGATAAACTGGACAGGTATATTAGTAAATGGTTAAATAGAGCTTTCCTTATCAAAAGCACTCACTTGGTGAAGTGTACTGAACTAAGAACCCAAGTGTTTCCATCTTCTATTTGAAGCCAACCCTCACTGTAACATCACCGGCAAGAGCATTTACTGACTGAGGCAAAACTGATTCCCCTTTTTGAAGGTAAGAGCATTACAATTGTGATTCTATTTGACTAATGGTTTCCCAGGGCTGTTTTCCTCTGAGCTGGTCATACATTTAAGCATTTTTATATTCTACCTTAAAAGACATCAGGAAAGCTGTGAGTTCAAAGCCAGCCTGGTCTAATAGTGAGTTCTAGGACAGCTGGGGCTACAGGGAGACCCTGTCTCAAAAAAGACATCAGGAAAAAGAGAACTTGGAGAGGATAGAGTTCTACAAATTTCTCACATGTCTAAACTCACACATTTTCAAGGTAGTTTCCAGAAAACATGACAACTGATGAATTATAGGAGAGAATGGCCTCGAGAACTTCTGCTGTCAGCATGTCAGTTCCACGCCCCCCCCCCCTTTTCAATTGGATCCCCTGACAGGAGTCTTTGGTAGATTAAGCTTCTGTCTGGGCTGGAGAGATGGCTCAGTGGTTAAGAGCACCAGCTGCTTTTGCAGAAGACCCAGTTGTGGATCCCATTACCCACATGGTGACTAACAAGCACTCTTAACTCCAGTTCCAAGGTATCTGACACCCTCTTCTGGCCTCCATAAGCACTGCATGCAGGTGGTACACTTACATACACACAGGCAAAACACTCACACACATAGAATAAACATAAATAAAATGTAAAGCCTCTGCTGAATGTGTCAGACCTGGCCATGACCCTGCAGCAGATACAAGATGAATAAGACCTAGATATGGGTCTCAAAGTGGCTACAGCTTAGCTTTAAATTCCTAAGTCTGACATCTATGATAATTATTGTATTGTAAAAGTACACAGCCTTGAAGGGGATGCCTTCAGGGAACAAGATTTTCAGTTATGTGAGTATGGGAACTTAGAAGAACTGGACTTTTTTTTTTAAATCTTAAATTTGAGCCAGGCATGGTGGTGCATGCCTTTAATCCCAGCACTCAGTAGGCAGAGGCAGGCAGATCTCTGTGAGTTCAAAGCCAGCCTGGTCTACATAGTGAGTTCCAGGACAGCTGGGGCTACAGGGAGACCCTGTCTCAAAAAGACCAAAAAAAAAAAATCTTAAATTTGTATAGACTTGAAACCCTTTATATGAAAGCAGAAGGGGGAGAGGAAAGGAAGAAGACTAGAGAATTATAATGAGAAGAAGGAAGGAGAATTAAATATGGTCAAAATACATGGTGAAAGAAGATATTTTTAGGAAACCCAACACTATGCAATGAATACACACTAATTTTTTAAAACTCTAATACTGATACCCAGAGAGCAGCAATATCCAAACAATATTATCATGTGCAATCTTCAAACTTTTGCCATGTGGCTTCATAAAAAACCAACTCTGAAGCATTTTCAGTCTTGTTTTCTCTGAATAAAATATGAGCCTATAGCAAGCAGATACAAAATCAGATTTCACAGCTTCCCATATACTATACTATACTATACTAACTATGTGACTCACTATGTTTACTGTTGATTGCTTCCTCCAGCTAAAACCTAAGCAGGATGTTTTCTTCTGTACTCTTCACTGTTAAGAACTCTGAACAGAATCTGGTACATATTGGGTGTAGAATGAATGAGTGAGAAATAACCTCCCTGAGGAAGAGGTACATTGCATTGATGCTGCTAATTAAAAAAAAAAAAAAAAAGATGAATTCAATCCATACATTTGAAATCAGCTTGACATTTCCTTAAACACTAGCTACAGACACCTCTACATCTGATTCATACAGATCACTTTACATTTCTTTCTTTTTTTGGCCTTTTTGAGACAGGGTCTCCCTGTAGCCTCCAACTGGCTTGGAACTAGCTATGTAGACCAGGCTGGCCTCAAACTCACAGAGATTCGCCTGCCTCTGTCTCCCAAGTGCTGGGATCAAAGGAAAACCTATCTATTTCTAATTGAGCTCATTTTACAAAGGATTGATACTCTATAAAAGTAAATTGCTGGGCTGGAGAGATGGCTCAGTGGTTAATACCACTGACTGCTCTTGCAGAGGATCTGGGTTCCAGTCCCAGCCACCATGCCCCACTCACCATTAAATACTTTTTAAAGAAATGTAACATAGGTCGGGCACACCTTTTAATCCCAGCACTTGGGAGGCAGAGGCAGGAGAATCTCTAAGTTCAAGGCCAGCCTGGTCTACATAGCAACATTCAGGCCAGCGGGGGCTACACAGAGACCCTGTGTCAAAAAGAAAAAAAAAAGAAAGAAAGAAAGAAAGAAAGAAAGAAAGAAAGAAAGAAAGAAAGAAAGGAGAAAGGAAGGAAGGAAGGAGGAAGGAAGGAAGGAAGGAAGGAAGAAGAAAGGAAGGAAGGAAGGAGAGAGAAAAAACAGATTGAATGGGAAAGAATACACCAGTTTTTAGGAAAATGCATTTGCTCACAACCCCCAAAATAATCCACAATATTCTCTCTCTTATACACTATAAACTTCATTTTATAAGCCATGTATTTAAAAAGAATAGGTGGGGTTTTATGGGGTTTTTATTTTTTGAAGGGGAGAACTATAGCTTAGAGAGTGAACTATTCATTCATTTTTACAATTTTATCAAACAGTAGTTTCCTCTAGTTCAACAAAAGTAGTCATTGGACCAAACACTTAATAACCTAGGAGACTGTTTTGTTGGTGGTTTTTCTTGCCTATAGGTTTAAACATTGCAAACATTATAACTGGATTACGCAGCATTCTGACTGAGGGATGACGAGACACACCCAGCCACTCCCAGGAACAACTCAAAGGAGTTTTGTTGTGGCATGTTTGCAATCTCTTTCTCCCTCTCTCTCCCTCTCCCCCCCTCTCTTTCTCTCTTTGTCACTCTCCCTCTTTCTCTCCCTCCCCCTTCTTCTTCTCCCTCTCTCTCCTTCTCTCCCCTTTCTCTTCTTTTCTAAAAAGAGGAGTTTAAACCACATATTTTTGAGCATTCTCCCCAGATACCTATAAATCATCAAGTGTTTTAGCTTTGCTGGTAAATGCAATTCTCACTGATTCATATGACCTCTCCCAAGCAGAAGAGGAATAATGTCAGCCATGCACATTTCCAGCAGTTCACAGGAAGTTCACAAGACTCAC